ATTTGAAATGGGATTATTTATTTATCAAAGTCGCCACTTGGGATAGTTTATTTGATGTCCCAAGTCACCGGTTTATTTTGAATCCCAAATTGAGGAAAACTTCGACTTTCCTTTTGAAGTCAGCGAACCAGAAATTCTGAATGAGAAATTCTGTTAACCCGAGAGAAGGTGTTAGGCACCCCCGGATTCCGTGGTTCTAGCACGGTCGCTCAAACTATCATAATTGGCCTATTATCTGATTTTAATACATGTTTTAAACCTATGGTTCGATTTTAACTCTTTAACCGCTTTATTCATTTTTAGGAGAATTGCAACGTCATTTAAAATACGTCTTGAACCACGTCACATAAATGCACCGCGGTCCATGACACATTTTATCTAACGTTGTTGAGATTTGGATTTGGGTCACATAAATGCACAACTGAGTTTAGGAAGGTAATATTATTAAAATAACGCGCCTAAAGCAATTAGGCGTTTTTAACTTTGCGAGGTCCATGGAAATTTGCTAAATGCCACGCCTCGAATTCTAAGGATTTTAAAGAATTAGTTAAATGAGGGCCACGCATTTGAAATTTTGTTGGGCGCAGCACACCTCAATTTATTCTGATCAAGAGGTTTTCTAAATTAAATACAATGGCCATACATTATATGCTATTTAATGGCACACCTTGAAACTACTTAAGAGTCGGACTAATTAAGCATTAAAAGAGATGGAGATTTGTTCAAATTAGGTGAACGGGCCTTAGCCACTATGAACTAGTAACTAGAAAACGGGCAGAAGGGGGCGAAAAAGGGATTCAAATCCCATTCACGAGTATTTGGGCCCAAAGTGAGCCCAACTTCAAAGCATCTGGAGCCACCCCACAAACGGGACTCAACATCGAGTCACTACGGCGTATAAGGAACGATTGAATAGTAAAAGATTGAGGTACCCCATATAGCCGGTCATGAACTACCATATTCACAACAATTAAAACAAAAAAAATCATCATTTAACTGGCCAATGGATAATTGTGTGAAGCTTTAATAGTGCCATGGCATCAAAATAATTAGGAATTCAATTTTTGATAAAACTATCCAGCATATGAACTTAAATTTCCAAAGTCTCAGATTAACTTGCAAGGCTGACATTCAATCTTTTAATTGTACCTCACATGAACGGGGCTGATGGAATTCAAAACCGTGAACTTAAATAACAACAGTAGATAGCCAATTTCAATCACGACCAAAGCTGAATTGATTTCTCTTAACACTGACAATTACCAAACCAACAGATTATAGCCCAGTTTCCCCCCTGAATCCCAAAAATCATGCTAAAGCCCTCACCACAATCATTGGATGTTTTACACTCATTTAGAAGCAAATAAGAATACAGAACGTGCTAGCATGACTTCCAAACCATATTGTCATGCAACTGCTTATGCATTAGCCTTAACTATCATGTAAAAGACAACTGAATTTCATAAACCAGAAGCGAACTTACAGAACTGATCATGCACAAAGGATACCATTACTTATGTCTAAGACTAAACTCTAACTTGCTGAATGGGATGAGGACAGAATAGGCCAGTGCTGGTATTCAAAAATCTAGAATTCAGCCCAAACCTTCACATTTTAAATGACATTAGTTCATCATTAATGCATGTTAAGGTTATGAAAAGCTGAAAGTAACAAGCACACTTATATATTCTTTACAGAAGTAAAAAGTCGACAAAATAGAAGAAGCAAAACAACAATGTTCACTTCCATTCCATGTTCATTCAAACTCCAATTCACATATGATTATTTGTTCTCCATGGTTTACAGATTTACCTGGAGATGAGAAGAAACCAAGAAGTAAGGGGTCAGTGATTTAACAGCAATACAACAGCAACAGAGATCAGCCTCCAGATTCAATAAACAGTGAAAATGGCTCACGAAACCAATGGAACAGTAACCACACAGCAGGTACCAACCCAGAGCTTTTCAAAATCCAAATTCAGGACATTTCAATCAGGGAGAATTAGAAAATGTTTCAGTAGTTGAAAACTTCAACAATCAAAACATAGAATTCAATTGAACAGTGTTTTCTTTAGACTTGCAGCCGTTTTTTATTTTTTCTGATTTTTTTCTCTTCCAGCCCTCAAATCTCTCTTCTTATGCCTTTATAGGCAAGCTACTAGGGCAGCCTTAAGGGTTCATTTTTTGCCCTTTAGACCTTTCCAATTTTTATTTTTTGCTCAAAGGTCCCTAAATTTCTGACTTGCTTGCCAAGCAATTCTGTTTTTCTGCTTCTAAGAAGCTTCCTAAGGTGGTTATTGAAAGATTCCCTGGGTAAACTACCCAAGTTACCCCTAATAGCCCTGTTTTTTTACTTTGAAGACCAAACAGGGTCAAATGACCAAAGACCCAGCTCCAAACTTGGGCCAACGGACAGGCTTCCTAATTTGGACCTTCATTCAATGGGCTGGTACTGACAAACCTCCAAACCCAATCCAAAACAAACTTAAAGAGAAGGCAGTCCAATTCAAAACTGAGACAATACAATTATTCAATTCTTCTTCTCTTTTTTTTTTTAAATAAAACACTTTTAAGAGAATGAAAAATGTAAATTAAAACTAAATTAATGACCAACACTTCTGACTTTAGGTTAACAAGAAGGAAGCGGAGTTTATGACTAACAGTGGGGCTTGAGAAAGAAAAAGGAATAAGGAAATATCGATGGAGCCCAAATAAACTTCAAAATCCTCAAGAGCAAAGATGACTCGAACTCGAACTCGAACTCGAACTCCGGTGAATCCAAAGCTTGACGAAACGGTGAGAATTATAACACGAATATTAGCCGAACTTTCGTTCATAGCTAATAATTCATGCAACAATCCTTACCATGTGCCAAGAAAGGAACGAGGGCAGAAGCTTGAAGAAGTTGGATCGTTTCAAGGATACGTGCCCGAAATCTAGCCAAAACCAAAGGATAGAGCATTCTTGACATCAACCGGACTTTTTTGATGAAAAACTGAGTAATTCATGCAAGTTTTAACACGAACTGAAGATTTAATCTGGAAAATTGGAGCAAAAAGAAGAAAATTTGGATTTTTATTTTTTGATCTACAATTCGGCGGAATTGAGTGATCTTTTGGGGAAATCAATGGCGTGATATGAAAGAGGAGATGATGAGGATTGGCTGGTTAAAATTTGGGGGTGTTTGGAGGTGCTCCGCCGTCGTGAGGCGATTTCCGGGCGGCGGAGCTACGGTGAAGGCAGGCGGCGATTTGAGAGGAAAAAGGGGGATTAGGTTTTGGTTTAATTAACTGAGAGACTTGGCAAGCTTGGTCGTTTAATGAGGGGGGAAGATCGAAACGACGTAGTTTGGCATTGAAACTGTAGACATCGAAATTTTAATGGATCAAGCTAAATCCTAAATTTAAGATACTACAAGACCTCTTGAAAGTCTAGGAGTCTGTCAGTGTTGCTTGGAGGCTACTCTACCAAAACCCTAGGTCGCTCCTATAAAAAGGGTTTCATAATCCTTTTAAAAATATCTCAAAAATTGAGATCATCTCGAAAATCCCATAAACTCACGGGATATTCACAAAGAGATCAAAAAGTGGCCGGATAATTCTTGATAATCAAATACTTCAAGAAGATCCACAACATACTTCATGGATATCAAATAAATCCATGAAAGCCCGCACCATCCTACGTTCGAGAAACACGCTATTCTAGCCCTTGAATCATGGAGATAATCAGGAGAGAAGAATCAAGGGGATAAACAGAATTGTACCCACGTCTTTTTATGAATAAAATTATGTTTCTTCATATTTATATTGTGGTTGCAATTTATTTTTGTATCACATATAATTTGTTGCAAACAGAAACTACGTCGTTTTGGCTAAAACGAACCCGACCGGGTATGGTATGGGTTTGGGCCATTTCTGGACGGGTACAGGGAATTTGATTTGGGCCTGGGCATTTTCAATGGATTTTGGCCCAAATTTGTTTCCTTTTTATTAACAAACCTTTTTCTTCTTTCTTTCTTTTCATTTTCAAATTTTGTTAATTACAAATTAAAAATAAAAATCTGATTTAATTCTAAAACTAAATTAATAACTAATTGCTTCTCAAAAATTAATTAAGTCCTAAACTATAAAAAATTCGAAAATTAAAAAGTTAAAAATGCAAAAATGAACTATTTTTGTTATTTTCTTTCGTTTTTGTAACATTAATTAAATAATTAACCTAAAAATATAAAATTGGATCCTTTCACTTTTGTAACATTAATTAAATAATTAACCTAAAAATATAAAATTGGATCCTAAATGCAAATGCAACGTATTTTTGTATTTTTATGATTTAAACAAATTAAAAATGCACACCAAAAAATGCAAGCAAACACGAAAATTATGCAATTAATTCCTAAAAACCAAATAATAAAAGAAAAATTCTAATTTTGGGGATTCTGTAGGAGTAATTCATGCGAGGCAAAAATCACGTGCTCACAACAGTATAATTATCAGTGTCTATATATGACCTTTTTTTATAATATATTCAAATATAAATTTGTGTTTAACAAACTACGTTGTCATATATAGCAGTAGTATTTATTTCACATCTTGCTAATTCAGCTTGCACTTTTTAACCTTTAATATGATTGTAAAAAGTTTGTACTAATTAACAGGGGATACACGTGCAATGCACGTATCCAGAAACTAGTTAACCATGTAAATATAAACTAACTTTGATAATCCGTGATAGTAATCGTTTGGATTAATTTTTGTCAAACTTTTATTAACTTACTCTTCAAAAATGTTAAAATATAATATTTCAAAGATAAAATGTAGTAGTTTCTTTGAAATTTACTACTTTGTATTTCGTGCAATTTCTATTTATAACTCATAATATTTTAATAAAATATTACACTTTGAGATGGGTACCGGCTCTCGAGCGAAAAGTCAAATTACGAAATTATCCCTTACTATTTTTTTTTTTTTTTTAGAAAACATTACTCTTTCGCAGATTAGTAAATTACCCTTTCTCCTTGCGGTCCTCGGCAAGAAGAGAGAAGAGCAGTGTCATTCTAACACTCTTTCCCTGCCAATTTCCCTCATCGCTTTTCTCTGCTAAACAACAGGTTTGACATCTGAATACCTCTTCACCAAATTGTTACTTATCTTTTTCCATTTGTCATCTTCTTCTCATATTTTCCCCCAATTCTACTTGCTTGTCAGATTTTAGGCGCCCCTCCATCTATTTCCCCGGCTAAATCCTAGGCGATATCGTCTTGCAAAGTCGAGTTGTAAGTTTCTTGTCAATTTTGTACTGATTTTCTTATGTGAATACCTTAATTGTTTTCTAAATGTTAATCTGCAATTTTTTAAACTTAGATATGTTGTTTGAGAATTTTGAGATGACTAGCATCTAATTCAATTTTAGTTTTCACGGCTTTTGCCCTTACTTTTCTATGTTTCTCTTTTGCTTTGTTTAATATGGTTATTGCTGCGTACATGCGCTTCATAATATGGTAGGAGTCATGCCCATCATCATAGCAGATGAAAACCTAGGTGAATGGCTTATTTAAAGAAAAAGTAATTAGTGTCGAGAAACTAGTATGAATCCATAAACGCAAATTTCGTCGACCATTGAAGAGTGTTCTGTGCCGGCTTCACTCTGCAACTCTTTCCGCCTCCGCCTCCACCTTGCTTTCGCTGTCGCAACCACATCCGCTGATGTGTGTTGTTCTCATCTGCGGGAGTTTTCTAATAGAGTTCCATAATTCCCCAAGGGTTCGAATCACTCCTCCCCCAGCTGCCAAAGAGCAAGAAAATTTATAGTTTGGAAGGTTAGCAAATGCACAATATTAACTTTAATTTTGTTAAATGGGGATTAGATGATCAGTACTCATTTTTGTGCTTAACAAGTTCTTCAACTGATTCAACTATGTACCAACTCTTCACTTCTTATTTTCCACAAATTCCACACTCATTGGGTTAAAAAGACCAAAGCCCTCTTATCAATTTGTTAATTTTTTCATGTCTCAAGGCCAACATGTAACACTTATACCCTGTGTTAAGTTTCTTGTTTGAGATATCATACACTTAATTTTCTATGTGGGATATATTGGGAGTTCCAGAACTCTAAAGAAGCAAACTTTATCTTTAACAAAAAATGATGAGAAAATTGTCAGACTAGTTGCCATAGGGATAGCTAAAGAAGCAAATTATTGTCAGCTTTCTTCTTGAGCTGGTGTTTTATTTTGTTACAGGGAATTGCAGGATTCTGAAATAGCAGATATAGTTACTTTTTGTTGTGAAGCATTCATGTAGTGTGTGTCTGCACTGTCTTTGTTATATCTCTGCTGCAATTGACGTTTTTGTTATCTTCTCTTTCATTGCTGGTTGTTCGAGATGGGAAAAAAAAAAAGAAAAGAAAACCTGAGTAAATTAGGTGTATCGGCTATCACACTTCTCCTTTTACCTGTTCTTTTTTTAAGTATATTACCCGAAATCTCCCTGTGTGAGCTCATAAAGTATCCATCCCAAGCTCGGATAAGAGAGTGGTGCAAGGGTACACAGCCGGTGTAAAATGTAGTCTATTATTTGAATAACGTTCTCATTGGGAAGTGCCCACCAGGGCCTTAACAAAGCGGAATGGGCTACAGAGAGTTCATATAATGAACTAATTTGGAATATGACATAGGTGACTGATCTAATTACTCACTTATCCCTTAGTTTAAGTTTTTTTTTCTTTGATAGGGTAATAAATTTCATCAAGAAGGGCGGACACTTAGACTGATGTGATAACCAACTACACCGCGACCCCCCAGTTTTAGGCTTTTTGAGTATGTTAGACTTAATAGTTGTCATTACTTCTTCATATCTTATCAACTACTAGGAATGCAAGTGGATTTTTTCATTGGTGATTCCAGATTGTTTTATTTTTTGAGTTAAGTCTCTGAGAGTCTTCACTTTTTTTCTCTTCTTATTTTTATATCTGAATATGAGGTTTGATATTTTATAAGCTCGTGATGTATATTCGGAACAAGATATCACCCATTTGATAATAGTTCACTTCTAGCGGATTCTCTTTATTTTTAGGCATTACAATTTTGACATGATATTGCGTTCCACTTGTATCATTCCCCAATATTTTAAATTTTATGTCTTCATGTCCACGTCCGACAAACCCTAGTGTCCATACAGCTGCTACTCACCACCATACATCTTTAGTTCGATCAATGTAAAAGGGATCCTACACTTCTACTGGATGCTATGAATAAAGTTGAGTTACCTTATCAAAGAAAAAAGGTATTCACATGCTGTGGGAAATGGATCACCCTTCTTGTTTGTGGCACTTTCCTCTCGTTTGCTAAATAATTGGTATCAGAAAGGTCCCTTTCTTGTGCTTTCTTTTCTCTTTTTTAAACCATAGAAAACAAAGAAAAAAGATTTTTTTTGTGTGTGTGTTGGGGGGGGGGGGGGGGGGGACCTGGGTTCAGAATTTGCCTTCTCAGAGTCTGCAGATACATACTTTTTGATGCACCTAGAACAAGATTCAAAGAAAGCAAACATATTGGGATTCAAATAAAACTAGGGGAACACTTCTGATCTAAGGATTTGGCTTCATGACAGTTCAGATATATCAAAGAAAATCCAAATTTTGCATAGAATTAAAATCAACGCTAAGAAGGAGAGGAAATGGAAGGGGCAGGTGTTCAATGTTTGCCGTATATGGATTTCTTTTGTGATGACAGTTTTGCTGCGAGTATTCTTGATTCCTCATTGAGAATGTCATCATATTTTTACAGGTGAAGAAGAGCTTTTATTGGTTGTGGTCTAGAACCCACTGCAAAGTAACTTATAGGGCCTCCACTGTTGTATCTTACCTGGTATCATTTCCTTCTCCTCTTCCTGTTTAGGTAGAAGTACTCGGTTTTAAATTAGTTGTTGTAATGCTGTGCAATTATGGTTGATGATTAGGTGGTTTAAAATGACAATCAGTTCGGAAGAGGCATCAAAGAAAACTTCACGTTCTCAATTGGTTGTGTTGAACAGGGCATTCAAATTGGTAAGTGTTCCTTTCTTAGACTATCTAAGATGGAATTCAGACGTGTGTGATTGGCTATATGTATAGTTTTAACTTTCTGGACGGTAACTCTTCAAGTGTAAGATGCATAGGCACTAAAGATAGGAAGTTTTGGTGTGTAGCATACATAGGGTTCTGGTTTAACTGGTCTAAAGTAGGAGATACAATGACTTTTATCAGGTCATGAGGCAACGATGTTTATCTTAGAGTTCTTTTGAAAAAAGGGGGCTAGTAATTCATGATTTCATAGCCTAAAGTTAACTTGGTACTCATATCATGTTACTCCACTATTTTCCCACAACATATTTTCTTTTCCCTATGTAAATAACTGGGCAACATTCTTGAAGTCGTCTAGGTACCTTTACTGATTGTACTGTTATACATGGTTTAGTTAATATAGACTGTTGCTATGGTTTGAATATGTGATTCATTTGCAGGCTGAGCAATGGGTTAACAATATGGGCTCTTCAGATGATGCTAAACCAAATAATGTGGTTCTAGAGAGTCGTCCACCTAGGTAAAATCTTCTTCGACATGACTATATTTTGTTGAAATTCCTGGGGTTGATTTCTTATGTCATCGTAGGCTTGGAATTGGTGCTGCAGTTCCACGTCAATCTCAAACTGTACTCTCAAATGACCCCGCGGAACGAAAATTACGTGCTAAATTGAATGCTGAGAAAAGAAAAAAATTGAAGAGCTCTGAAGCATCAACAATTTCTGCCAAAGACGGGAAAGTTGATGAAGAAAGCGATGATGAGGAATTAGAAAGCAAAACAAAAGCGTTTACCAAGAAGAGGCCTGCAGCTTTGCCCTCGTCTCTGCAAGCAAAGAAGAAAAAGAAGTGACTTTGCATTATCTAGCAAATCGAGATGTGCTATAGTTTTCCTTTAGTATATTATTCTAAGCCTTCAGCTTCTTGTTGCCATTTTGGAAGGTGCAGTTCTCTTGAGGTCTCAGTCTCCAGTTAAGAGAAAAGTTTTGAGTTCTGAGTAGCTGACTTAGAGTTTCAATTCTGTTTGTAAGAGTAACAAATTCTATTAGTGATGTTTATTTCTGAATAATGTTCTTCCCTCCCACCACTCCTCTGCATCCGGCCTGTGCTTTTGGTGACAAATGTTTTTAGAAAACATATCACCCTCTCATTCTTGTTCTTGCTCTGAGGTTAATGGCGAAAGATATTTTTTTTTTTTGAAACCATGCTCAAACATGCAGAGGGCACCTTATATTTGGTGTCTTGAATTCTCCTTTGAAGTTTATTCTAGTGAGCATAAAACCAGGCAAAGAGTAATTAGTCTAATTACTGCTTTTTGCTGTTTCACTTTTACCCTCTTGCTTTGGTTTTCTAGCTGCAAACACTTGCTTGTGGATGTTGTAATAGGAGGGTGGCACCCAGGGAACATGTTTTTTTACAATCTCATGCTAAAGCATATTCTTCATCTAGCTGCAAACACTTGCTTGTATGAAATTCATATTCACTTGTCATGTGCTACATTACCATAATCCTGAGAAATGTCCATACGGATCGGCTTTTTTTCCATGTTAAAAGAATGAAACAGAATGGTGCTTCATCATCTACAAGTCAATATCTTTTTCATGAGATCGAGAAGCCCTTTGCAACTCTTGTTCGAGAGGGTGGAGTACACATAGCCCTCAAAGTGGATGATCTTGAATTTTTGTCTCCGCTTGTCCCATGGGCAAAACTTTAACAAGTGTTTGCCCCTCGCTTGCTCATGGACAACACATTTAACTTTTGACCTTGACATTCTGCCATGGGGCAAACGGGGATCAAAAGTTAAAGACCACCCGAATAAGTGTCATATCTTGCAATTATTTGGGTTCGAGATACCAAGATATGACTTGTCCAAATTGAAACAAATTGACAGCAGTAGCTTCAAGCATACTAAGGCTATCATATAGTGATACAAACAACCATGTCAATGTATTATTTCTTTTTCTTTCCCTACTTCAATGTTACTTTCAGTTACAACCACTTTGTACTTACAAAAGAAAAATCTATCCAAGAATAAAACTTAAAAGATGGACCAAAAAAGAATGACCTGTGTCAAACGTCCAAAGCCTCAAAAACCAATCTGCCACGCAAAAAGAAAAATAAAGAAAATCTAAATATGAAGGTACAACACACATTAACAAAACCAGAAAACCACACATTCTACATCTATTAGAACCCCAGGTCATTACCAGCTCACGACTGGGTTGAAGCTCAATCAAATCATGAGATTTTCTCCAGGAGGAACTAACTTTTGATATCTTAAAAAGCAGTTAAATCAAAGAGGAGTTCCGTGATCCCTTGAGTCCACACTCTTTATTTGCTAGCTTTTTGCATGGAAGTCTGTTATGTGTCATAAAAGTAAGTAGTGTCTCGCAAGAGCTGCATGGTCTACGTCGTTATCTAGAGTCTAGGGAAGTCTTCTCTTAGTCCCTACAGAGAGACAGGTCGGTCACTGGTCCACGCTACTGTCAATTTCATTCTTGGCTGGGAAGTAGCATCTTCTTCACACTCCAAAGTATCACTAGATATGCTCAAAATTGTGTCCTCCACCAACTCTTCCAGAATAATCTCCTCCATCTCAACACCGATATGTCCAAGATCCAACCGGAGATCCATCCATGTCCCTGATCTTTCCATGTCTTTTTTGACAAGCTGGTCCAAAGAATGAGGAGTTGAATACTGGAGAAGATACCATTCTACTCCTTTCCATACTTCATTTATCAGGTCCATCCCTTTTGGAACAGGTCGAATGTTATGTTTACCGAGTGACACTCCCGGGTGACAACCAAAATAGCGGTCACAGACTGCCTTAAGAACGTCATTTGCACAATCAAAAAGGAGCTTTTGATCATGAGAAGATCGGCTTGAAAATAACTCTACCTCGTCAAATAACGATGGGTCAAGAACCTGGTCAGACGAAAGCCACCTCAAGAGAAGATCATCCCAATTTAATCCTGAACCTAGAAGAACTGCTTCTACGTATTCAAAAGCGGATTCTTCATTTTCGAAACAAACTGTTGGACACACTTGTTCACTGATGGAAGACACTGGTTCTTCAAAATGAATTTTCCGTGGTTGAATTTCTGTATCAACTGTACACATGTGGACATCTACATTTCAGTTAGGTGAGCATATAAGAAAATCATAGATGATGGTTTAAGCAAATTCTTGGTGAAACAGGTTAACCTGGTCGGAATATAGTGCTGGCAGGACTGACATCATCCTCCACGAATAATGGCTCAAGCACTGAGACGGGACTAGGTCGCTCCATTCTATCAACTACACTGTTAGGATCTTCAGCTTTCCTAGGGCTTGAAGAGCGTGCAGGTGAAACTGGTGGAGAAGATAGAGTTTGATCCTTCCCAGATGGATCCTGAAGTAAAGCAGAAGAAGATTATAGATATTGTAGCACCAAAGGAAAGGGCTCATTCTTTCAAGCTAGTGTTCGATGAGTTCTTTTAATCAGATAATAAAATTTTATTAAACAATGGGAAAAACTCTAGTGTTCGGTGAGCTTATCATAACCTTCCACACACAAAAAAAGAGGAAGAAAATCATCTTGAAAGATAGAAGGAATTTCATTACAAGTTTAAATTAACTTTTTAGCAAAGACATAATTATACATTAAATTGTTTTTCAGTGGTGTGCTCCAATCTTTTAATACACATCCTGGAAAACTGAAACGGGCTAAACATTCTTTTATCCTTGGAGTATGAGATAAAAATGTTTGAATTTGGTTGGTACAGAACTTACATAGTAGCATACTGCAAAGAAAAAAATTGAATTGATTTGCTGATAGTACTTTGAGTTCACACTCTTAAATCTAACTGTTATTGATCTGAATTCATAAAACTTGTATGCGGATACTGACCTGGATTTTTTTTTCTCTAAACAAGACTTATCATGAAAAATACAAATGTTCATACCTTTTCCGCTTGTAAAATGATAAGAATTTAATAGAAGATTAGAGGATGAAGGAAACAAAATTGTACTATCATAGTAAAGCTCTACAACAACAACAACAACAACAACAGACAATTCATTTTTTCTGTGATATTCCAGTGAGTAGCTTATTTGAATATCAATACTTTTGTTAAAGTTTTTGATATGATAAAACATGTAATTTTTCATTTTCTGTTATTACAATGTGCAATTCGTAGGGATGCAAACTAGTAATACCAAAAGGTAGGCAACAGAAGTACTTAGCAGTCACTACTTACTTCTTGTAAGCAGTCAAATGACAATTCAAATCTCTGGGCAGAACTTCCATCATCCACTGCATTGGTAGCAGCACCATCGATTCGGATGTCTCTGTCAGTTGGAGAGCTACCTAATTCAGAAAGAGCACTCAACACTTCACCTTCTTCCATGCCTCTGGTTTTGATAGTTTCTTCAGTTAGATCTCCTGCAATGATTTGGAGACTGATTACACGATAATAGATTTAAAAATTGGCAAACACTGAACTGACAAATGAAAGGTCCAAAATTCAAGAGATGATCAAGAGAAGAACACCTTTAGGACTTGTATGACCAGTTGAAGCCACGTCTTCATCCACTGTGTTCCCATTTTCACATGGAACCTCTACATTGGTGCACTCATTAGGATACTTGCCAGAACAGCTAGATTCTATCTCTAAATCTTGGGTGGATGGACTTGGACCCGTAACATGGTCTTCTCGTACATGCTGAAGTCTGTCATCATTGGTTCCTTGTATAGGGTCAGTAAGAGGCTCACTCATTTGGGAAGGTAGCATACTATCCTTGCTGTTTTCTCTCGGACTGCAGCCAGGGGAACTGTTGTACTCGGGGAATGAAAGTATCCTCCCCAAGGATTTAGGCAACTGTCCACTACTCACCGTTGTTGTCTCATCTTCATTGTCCAGCATCTCCACAAGGTGCTTCTTTGCCTCGATGTAGATGTTGGGCATTCCTGCCCTAGGAAAGTCAGATGCCTCAGTCGGTGAGACTGCTTCAACACCTTTCGACTTGACTATCTTATCCCCTCTCTTGATGCCCAGAGGAGATTTAGCAAATTTTTCAGTATAAAAATGGTCTCTATTAGGAGAACTCCATCCTAAGTTTTCTCCAGAGATTCCTCTTTCACTGTTACTCCACTTCAGCTGCTCAGATGGAAATTTGCGGATGGTTCCTTCCTGAGAGATTCCATGACGATCCTTTCCCATCGCATGCTTGAGTTTTCTTTTAATTTCTGTGAATGAGAACTGGGATGTGTTTCTCTCACCCTGCATTGTACGTTTCTCTGCGTATTGCGAGTGCACTGGAGTGTTAACATTGGTTTGAGCACTAGGTGATTGCAAGCCCGCTGGTCCAGGCTTCAAAATAACGATTTTACTTGATGGTCGGGGTGTCTCATCTTCCATTGGGGGGTAAATTTCTTGAGACTTGCTCCTCCTCCTGAAAAATTTGCGTTGTTTGTGGTTTATGACGTCGTCTGTTTTTGCATGAAGTCGGTTTTCCTTTGACATATTAGATTCTGGAATCAAGTTAGGTTTCTGCTTTTCCTCAAACTGAGCATCCTCCAAACTTCCGATTTGCTTTAACAGCCTTGAATTTGGATCTTGTAGGAGTGTCAAGATAAATTCCTTATTTGAGCTTAGTGTCTGCAGAGCATCCATAAACTCTTTTGATTGGAGAGTCTTGTTATCTTCTCCCAACTGTTTATTGTTTCTTGATCTCTGATTTATAAACACCTCAATCGCTGCATTTACCTTTTCTTCAACAACTGGCTGAGTCTGATCTGACTGCTTGTTATGATCATTATGTAAATCTTGGCGGGCCTTCACAAACTTACGACTTTTCTGATGAATCTGGCGGAGCTCTTCCATTACAATGTCCAGATCATCGAGGGCCTTCCCTCCAGAATCTTGAAGATGCGGTGCTTCAGACCTCAAATTTCCGTCATCATCTAAATCATGAAAGTGCGTATTACTTGGTCTGCGTGTTCGCCTGCTGTTCTTTCTTGCACGCCATGATTTTTGTGAATTAAACTCTTCTGCATCTATTTCAGAACCATTTCCCTGATTTTTCAGGCTTTGCTCATTCACCATTTCTTCTTCCATCAGCTCCTTTACACTTGTTTTAGGATCAGGTACTGCTACCTCACTTTCTTCATTATCCTAAAATCATCAATACCATACATTTTATCATGCCAGCATATGGATAAACAAAAAACTGTTAGGATCAGCGTAAATGCTAAAGCGTCTTCAAAGCCTTATTGTTCCAAAAAAATTATATATTCAATATACCGTCACAATGTTGCCTCATAACACACCTCAATATTCAGTCTATTGTCAGTGGGATCTGGTAATTCCTGCATAGAGCTTGAACAAGGAGAATCTGCAGAAGACAAAACAACATGATTTTGTTGGACAAGGGGAGGGGATGAAAGAATTGACATCAGATGGTAGAAAGCTGCAAACAAAGAACAGAGACAGATTCATCTCTAAGAGTGAGGATTATAGATATCTTACCAACAGCTGGTTTGCTTCCTTGCTTTCTATCTGAGAGTAACTTTCTAGTGGTTCGACCATGACGAAAATCAAAGATGCTAATCAAACCCCAAATGCAACCGGCTCGATCCTTCTCATATCTCAGAGTGGGTCGCTGTGATCTCTTTGCCATGTTCACGAACTTATTAAATTTCAGTGCACTCTATTCAATTGTCGATACTACGATAGCCTCTCTGCTCAAGTCTGATCAAGAAGAAAAAAAATTTAGATTAAGGACATATAATTGGAAACTCCCTAATATTCTGAATCAAGGAAAGGGAATCGAAACAACATAGACTCCGTAGCAAATGAATGCAACTAACTAGCCAATAAAGATCCTAGTGAGAAACATCAAATTATTATTCCAATGGACTAGTCTATGTAGCATTTTCTCAATAGACTCACCTTCAGATCTCTTCCAATAAAAGCAATAAAAAGTTTGCAACAAACAGAATGGAAGGATCATGAAAATTCTACTAATATACAAAATATGGAATATCACTGCGGCGAAAACGGAGATGCTTCCAAGATCATATCAATTGAAGTAGTGAAAAGGGGTTGATAAAAGGAAACAACAGAAAACTTTTACCAAAATTTTGGAACCTTGAGAACCAACCAAAGAAGAAGGCAACAAATATGCAGCAAATTGTACATAAAAACCAAAAAACAATTCCCTCTTTCAACTCCACAAGTTTCCCAACAGAGTAAAGCTAAAGGAACTGTAGACTTACCTAGTTGGTAACGAATCAAAAATTTGCTTTTTCACTTTTCAAGAACAATCTTTAACACTATTTTCAATAAGGGCAGTGCAATCTCCCCAAAAAACAATACTACATGGAAAGCAATTTGGCTCCACTACAAAAACTTGAGCACTTCATTATATACACAGAGAGCAAAAACATCAATTTTTCTCCAACCAACAACTTTGCCAGCAAAATGGCCCTTCAACTATTGAGAAAACTGTTTCAGACACAGAATGTGGCATCAGCAAATCATAAAGAACCTCAAAGATCACTTCTTTGTACTTTTTTGTCGGCAGAAACTTGAAAACCCAAAATTCCTATTTTTTAATCAATTAAGAGGCACCCCCACAAAGAGATTTTCACCAAGATTGAAACTTTTTGCCTCATGAATCATGCAATTAAGAATAAACCAAATATGTAACAATCAGAACGACAATTTCTTCTTCTTTGGCACGTTGAATAGAATAAAATATCTTTTTTTTCTTCTTCTTACAACACTAGATATATTAAAAAAACTAGATTGAAAGGGATTTTATCAACCAGAAAGGGTCAAAGAAAGAGGAAGTATAACACCTAACAATAATTCAATACTAAGAACTCTTCTTTTTTTTTACTTTTTTTTCTTCTTTTGGCTATAAGGGTATCTATACCGACCAAAAAGATAAAAAGAGAGAACCCCAGATAACTAAAACACCGACCCACGTATTTACCCAAAGAAAATTAGCTGTGGTCCGTGGGGCAGCCATTAAAGACCAAAGAAGTTGGAGAAAAAAAAAAAAGCAAACTTAGAACTGGAAAGTAAAGATGCTACTGTGTGTGTGTGTGAGAGAGAAAAGAGGTTTAGGCCTTTAGGGTGGTGGACAATTAAGCTGACGAAGAAGAAGAAGAATTCTTGACACCTGGGATTCTAATGGTGGGACCAATACAAATGGAGCCTCCCACTATAGGAAAAGTTTTTTTTGCTTCTTTTGATTTTCTTATTTTTGTTTCTTTTCTTGGTCTTTTTTTCATCAATCTTTTTCCTAAATCAGATTTTCAACTCCACGTTCATCAACATATAGATATCATCATCACTGTCACTATGACACCACCCCCCACATCTGTCTCACACCACTATGCAAAAATAGGTGTTTTTTTCTTTTTAGCATTTTGCTTTTGCTTTTGATTGTGAGTTATGTGGTAATCAGACAAAAACGTATGAGCATTGGATTCATACGCGTTGAAAGAGAGAGGGAGAGAAAAAGAAAAAGAGAAATAACTGTGAGCGTTATTACACTTTTTTTTGGTAGAAATTGACTTCTAGTTTTAATGTACTGTATACTAGTAGCTGTGGATGATAGGGAAAGGTGATATGTGTGGAATTATGTGAAAATTACAAGGACAAGACTGACATTTACATTTTGTTTTTGTAGCAGACAAAATAAATAATCTGATCCAGGTGTTATGTATTTAATTAATTTCCACTTGGATTTGGATTTGATACATTTTTAAAAAAAAAATTAAACTATGTTAGTACTATTTTAGATTATAGACATTTAACCAAAGTTCTTTTTCTTACCAGTAAACTCGGTTTTAGTTCATTTTGGATCTTAAAATCTAATTGTACGGCTATACTTAATATTTTTGTACTGAGTTTATTTAGGTATTGAAACTGATTTATGAACATTTTAAGCTACTTTATGCATTAATTTTTGTGATTTTGTATTTGATTTTTTTTTTTCTTTCCACGAGAACGCGTTAATATCTAACTTCTTTGCTAAAAATAATTTTATCCTGCATATTATTTCATGTCGGGCAAGATCGAAATTACGGGTAACGCAATTAGAGTTCGTATGGGATTTCGTGAATTACATGAAATTAGTTATAGTAGATTCTCATAATATAATATTATCATATACTTAGTAAATTAATATTATCATAAGTTTGGTGGATTCTCCACAATAATTGCATGAAGTTAATTATAGTAGATTCTCATAATTTAATATTATCATATATTTAGTAAATTACTAATTTATCTAGAGTTGTTACTGACTCTATATATCATTCAATTTATTATGGAGAATCCACCAAACTATTTTAATGATAAAATTAATTATTATTACATAAAAGACTTATGTGACAGGTTGGTAAAGCATTGATTGATCTAAAAAATTAAAAGAACTTATTCATTTCACTTTGCATTAGAAACAAGTAAAGTAGGAAACGTAAGTAGGAAAAGAAATTTTGCATTGAACAAAGATAAGAAGAATACTATTTAATTTTCAACCTTTCTTATCATTTTGCTAGGAAAAGAGAAGAAAAAGGTTGTTAAATAAAGTTGATTTGGATATGGCAATGATGATAATGATAATTATGTTGAATGAGTAACTTAGAATTCAAACTGATTTACCTCTCTTAAGTGGAGGCCATGAGCATATTGGATTTTTGGGTAATTAAACACCTAAGTGGACCTTAGTAAATTTTCTTTATAATCCAAAACTATATGGATACGAGTGGAAGTCTTTTCATTTTTATGATCAAAATTAGGGGTGTTCATAGTTCGTTTGCATCGGTTTTTCCCTAAAAAGAAACCAAATTAAGTAAGCCGGTTCTTCAAATATTGAAACCAAACCAAACAACTAAGTCGGGTTTTTATTGATTCGATTTTTGTCGGCTTTTCGGTTTTTTTTGATTTTTTTATCGGTTATTTATGCGATATACACTACCAAGCACATATTCCGGCGACTACATTTTCAACGTAACACTATCAAACTAATTGCTCTTTGAGAAATCTATTATTTACCAAGATATATTGATGATAATTGAATCCAATAGTGATGAATAATTTAAGTACTCAATTAAAAATCAATTGTTTTTAACATGAAATAAATTCTTGTACTTAGCAAAGAAAAACTACCAAACTAGGATGTAAAGGCAAAGAATTAGACTATTAAAATAGCAAACAACTAGACTAAAAATACAAACGACTAATATGTACCATAAAATATTATAAACTTTATATAAAAATATACATACATATATATATATATATATATAAATAGTTATTTCTATAGTCGGTTTGGTTCGGATTTTTTGGTTATTTTTTATTAAAACCAAATCCAAACTATATCTGATCGGTTTTTAAAATTTAAAACCAAAATCAAACCAAACCTAAAAAGTATCAATTTTTTTGGTCGATTTGGTTCGATTTTTTGGATTTTTATGAACGCCCCTAATCAAAATTATAAAGCAAGAGATGTTAAAACTTATTTTTATAATGGAACGCAACAAATATTAAGGATGAGTATATAATATGAATCTCAATCAATTTGGAACTAAGACTACAGCTTGTTTGGATGGTTGTTACACGTTGTTTTATAATGTATCGTATCGTATCGTATTGTATTGTACTGTATTGTTTGATGAATACAATGTTTGGATAGATAGTATCGTTTGCTGTTGTTTCATGATATCACGCACCAACAATATAAAGAATTAACTGGTAATATTATAAAGAAAAATTATGATACGAGGTAAATTTATTATATGAAAAGGAAGGGTAAATGATAAAATAAAATTATATAATAATAATAAAGGGTGAGATGAGTGAAAAAGACAAGATAATGACGCAACCACACCAAATCGGTTGTTACATGAAGTGGCAAATTTCGTCGTTATGCAACGACGGACTTAAAAATACGATACAATATAATTTAATTAACAACCAAAATAAACATCAAATTTAAAGTAACAATACGAAACAATACCATGTGTAACAACCATCCAAACAAGCTGTACAGTGTGCACCAATATTAAATCTACCATAAACGTTATGCACCAATTTTAAAGCAAAGAAATAAGAAGGTTCTAAGTTTAATAAATACACTGTATATTCCTAAATGACATCATCCTTATTAGTCAATAAAACAAATACTATAATTTTTCTTTTATCAAATTAAAATACAATTCTGTACATATTTTTTTAATCACTCGCTATTCGAAGCTTAATTCAACGTCCTGCCAATATGATAAATAAAGAAGGATAAAATGCTTTTTACGATTTTTTTTTATTTCTAAATTTGAGTCCAAAAACATTAATTAAGAATGAAAAGATCCCAACTATCCCGCATCTTTGAATGGTCTTAATCCATGTGTCAAAATAGTGCAAAATCAGTTCTAGAGCTCGTTTGGATTAGCTGATTTGACGTAGCTGACAAGCATAGATGCTGAAAAGTACTTTTAAGTGTTGAAATTGATTTAATAAATAAGCAGTTACATATTTGGATACAAGTGCTGAAATTGATAATAAGCTGCTGCAGTATTTTATAAACAAGTGCTGATAAACTCTTTTTCTGTTAAAATGACTTAAATAACCTTAGAACTGCTTACACTTATAAGGGCGTAATTTCTTCAACATTTTAGATTTTTGATCGATTCAAATGCAAAATATTTTATTTGTCATTTATTTTAAATACAAATATGCGTAGATTAGATAACTTTTATGATAAATATAATTTATTTTATGATAAGCATATAATCATAAGTTATAATAATTAATAAATTGACAAAAGTTTCTTAGTAAATAATAAACCTAAATAGGACAAAGTATTTGAACACTATCTTCATCACAACAACACTTAGAAAGCAATACACCAAAATTTGATATGTCCTCATTCAGTACATACAATTCAAAGATTAATACACAATCACATATATACAAATATGCAAAGGAATAGAGAATTTGCTTGTTTTAAATAGTAAATGAGAATTGCAGACTTAAGAGGCGGGGGTGGGGGGTGGGTGAGGGAGGGGGTTTAGGTTGAAACAATACTTGAGGCAGTGAGTGTCGATGTAAGAATTTTGTTCTAAAAAAAGAATATTTTAAGGATAGAATAGTAAAAATCTTGGTCAAACTTAAAGTGCTTATAAGCTAAAAATTCATAAGCTGTGGGTGACCAGCTTATGACTTTTGGCTTATTTTTTGACTTATAAGCACTTTTAACTTTACCAAACGCGTAAATAAGCCGAAAAAATGCTTATAAGCTAATTTGACCGGCTTATAAGCTTAGCCAAACACCCCCTAGTCTTATTAAGAAGTAGGAGTGTCAAACGGGCGGGTCGGGTCGGATATGGTTCGGGTCGAAAACGGGTAATGAAAAAACAGATCAATTATCCAACCCAACCCATATTTAATACGGATAAAAAACGGGTTAACCGGCGGATAATATGGGTTACCCATATTATCCATGACTTCTTGTATATGATTACTTTTGGGAGAATTCTTAGTCTCCCCAACTTGAGGAACCCTCAATTTGAGGCTTTACAAATGTAAAAGTTAGACCCATTGGTTATCCATTGGTTACTCATTGGTTATCCATTTTCTAAATGAATAATATGGTTCTTATCCATATTTGACCCGTTTTTAAAAAGTTCATTATCCAACCCGTTTTTTAGTGGATAATATGGGTGGTTAACTGTTTTCTTTGAACCATTTTGCCACCAGTGATGTTAGGTAAGGTTTCAATATTGCAGAAGAGCCGCCACAAACATTAATTGAAACACTTGGACCCCCATGAATCATGATTTCCCTACTTCCAACTTCCACGGTGATATGTAAATAGTAATGTCTAATCTTGAAGGCCCATATGAGACAAACAGCTTATCTCCCACCCCACCCCGTCGTTCCTCCCACCCCACCCTAACCCCACCCTTCTCCTTTTTCTAATTCACATTTTTTTTTTTGGTCCGGATATTTCTGACTAACTTTGTACAATTTTGGATAACTAATTAGAAGATTATAACTTTATAATGGTGGTAATAATTATGATTGTTTCCCTCATGCTCATGTTCAAACAATAGAATGTTGAGATCTGAATCTAGAGCCTTACTTAATATGT